TATAAAATTCGTTACACAAAGTTGATCTACAATCTATTTTATATGAAATTGGAAATTTGTACACCCTACCCTTAAAAAAACAATGGCAGAGTCATGTGCAATGCATTTTTTCTAATGTTACACAGTCATCATATTTGATATCGACTCAAAAATTTTATTACAGTATTATAATCGTTAACACACGCAAGTTGTACTGCACAAATGTCTATATTTGATCCTGACTCAAGGAATCGTGTACCTTCTTCGCCTTTCACTTTTCAAAGAGACCGCAACCTGACAGATGTTGATGAAATAGCTTTTCCTCAGACGACAAAATTTTACAAAAAAGACGAAGGATCTTTTGATTCTGAGTCATACCTAACAATATCTTCTACAGGTGACGCGGCAGTGGAACAGAATGGGGCAAATAACAATTATCAAAAGATTTATCTAAATCCTGATTTTATGTGCGATGGTGACATAAATTGGTCTGAATCAAATCAAACGATGGGTGCAAAATTCAACCCAAGTTCTGTAAACGGTTTGATGTGCTATATCTTTAGAAAAGAACCAAAAGAAAAGGTAAAATTTATCCGTTCATTGTAGTGATAACCGTTTCTTAACTTATTCTTTGAAATTCCATAGGATGGAGAAGAGATGATTCATCAAGATACACAACTTTATATATGTTCTCTAAACGAAGTGATGGATGACCGGAGGTCGGTAAGTGTATGCAATGGATCTTTTAAAATATTTTTTATGGTTCAAATTACTTATTTATTCATTTATCTAGTTTTACAATGATTCATATATAAAATTTATGGATGCAGCTAGAGTTGATCGAAGAGACATGTAATTATAGATTATTTTAGTGTATAAGTTACTTAGTAAAAAACCGAACTTTTATAATTAATTATTATTCTGTAAATAGAATACGCACGATTAAACTATCTAACATCTATTCGGAGTATTCAAATATAATTTCAAAACGTATCAGAAGACTTGAAGGGGTATTTTGATATTTATGGATCTATTTAAGATATTTATGTATACTACAAGCATAAATATATTATTTAAGCTATTTAAATAATTTGAATTGGTGATTAGATGAAATCTAAAGACGAGATAGGCGATAAAATTTATTCTGAGTTGGATACATTTCAAGATATTTTTGCTGTATGGGAATTATGTCGAATCATTTATATTCCATCAAAACAAGAGTACAATCAATTTGGGCAATTTTCAAGCGACCTTTTAAAATGGATAAATACCTGTTTTCCTTTATCTGGTAAATCTTTAATTTGCAATTATTTTTCGAAAATTATTATTGTCATATTATAAACTTGATTTTAAAATTTTTTTTTGTTTTTTTTTTATTAACAGACTTAACAGAAGATGAAGAGGAACAATTAGAACAAAATCAAGAACGCTACCGAGATGATCTTTTTTGGACTCGTCTTTACAAGTAAGTATAACCTATCTAAATTGGATGTATTTTTTAATTTGAATTAAGTTAATTCTTATTCAGGCTGGTTCTTCGAGGGTCATCTCAAGCAAAAACATATCTAGAGAGCATTATCAAAGATGGTGGTGCAGAGTTTGGTGATTATATTAAGCTTGTGCTGGACATACTAGATTCCCGACCACGTGCCACAGAGCTTGAATATCATGAGTTCAACCTTCATAGGCACGAATGGCTCAGTAAGATCAGGTAATTGTTGATTATATAATGAAGCATTTGATATTTGTTAGAATTTTATTGTGAGTACTTTTGATACTAAGTGAAATATTGTACTCTATTGTACTCGTATAGTGACCTCCAGACGAAACTTCGTGGTGAGGATTTTTTAGAAGGAAGAATCAATAAGATTTTAATGATATTACGTGGGCATACAAGAACCATCATTGATGAGAGTTCATCATGGCAAGAAGCTCTTGGGGGCCTTGTATATCACAGTCGCCCGACATGTGATGCACAGGAATTGAAGTAAGTTTATAAATATGTAAAACAGTTTTGTATCACCCACTTATGTATTAACCAGTATTTTACATCAGAAATATCCTGAATGTAATATTGAAGTATATAGACACGTGCAATACTGCACTGGATGATGCTTTAATTCAATTTATTTCTCGGAAAATCGAGAAAGTAAGTTCGAATAAAAATTTTTTTATGCATTTTTTTTTCAATATCTGACTAGTAATGATTTCTTAGGGGATCCAACATTGTGAACGCATCGACTTGTGGTTATCTGCACATTTATCCGATATTTTAAATAAGCTAGATTTAGTTGGACGAATCCATTCACAAAGTTCTCATCAGAAACAAAAAATTAATATTATAACGCAGTAATAATCGCTGTTCTTTCTTTTTTTTTTTTTTTGTTATTATTTGTAATTAATTTTTTCATAACTAAAATCAATTCAGACCTGAAGTAGATATTAGAGAATATTGTTTACTCAATTATGCCGAATCTATGGTGTCTCATTCCACACTTTGGCAATTAGCGTTTAAATATTTTGAACATTGTGAAATATGCGGATATTCATATATATCCCAGGTAAATGGACAGAATTTTATATAAAATTAGAGTGTTATTACTAACTCTTTATCTGATTAAAGCTTGTTGTCAGGATACCATTTGAAGACGAATATAAAGCCAATAAATTACTGTGTATTTGTAAAGAAAATGGATTAACCTTTCAAGAGAAAACCATTTCAAGGGTATAAAATAAGTTATATTTCTTTGTTGCATATTTAATTTTCTTTTTTATTTATTTATTTCGTTTTTGATAAAAAGATTATGGGGGCGAAATTTTTGCAGAACAAGCGATACGCATCTGCAATAGTATACTTTATAAATGCAGGAGACACAGCATCACTGGAAGTAATTTATCGTATGTTTTTGGATTATTATATTGACACTGGTAAGTATTTTCACATAAATTTGGATTTTCAATATTTTAATGGTTTAATGACTAAAATTGCATTTATTACAATTATTATAGGTAAATTAACATTCTTGGACACTATTGAGAGTATACAACTCGATGATACATCCCCAGTATCAATCAAATTCTTGTCAAGATATAGATTATTTCACGCGTTAAAACAGGTAATATTTAATTTTATATGCATATTCTATTGCTCATAATATATGTTTACGACATGATTTTTTTTAATACAATTATAGAATGGGGAAATACAAAGAGCTGGAGCAATTTTGATGGAATTATTAAAGGCGCAGGTTGCGCCCATAAGTTTTTGGCCTGTTTTATTGCTTAACGCACTACCATTATTACAAGAAGGTTAAATATAATATGTAATCGAATATTATTTGATATTTTAAAAATAATTGCTTATATATTATTATTTCTTTTTTTTTTAATCGTTATCAGGAAAAGCACGAAAAATGATAATCTTTAGTACACAAGATACGCTAGAAATTTTAAGAAATTTGCAAGATATTACGTCATTCGTATACCAAGACGAATGTTTAGCGTGTATTGAACGATTAAAGAAATGGCATACTCAAGAGAATGGATATTCAGAATTAGACAAAAATTTAACAGCCTTAAGGCTAGCACTTTTACAAAATTCAGCAGATTGTTACATTGAGAATTCATCTTCTCCTTGGATGTTTGAGTAACTTGTATATATACGTCATGGATGTGTATGTGATTCATGTACTTTTTAATATTAAATAATAATAATAAATTGGGATATAACATAGAGATTGTCATTCAATTGCAGATAAATAAATTAATAAATACAATTGCAAATAAATTAAGATTTTTGTTAAATTTAGCAGGTTGTGATATCGCAGGTTAATATATATTTTAAAATTATTATTAGTTAGGGTTAGGGTTCAAGCTAGTATTAGGATTAGAGTTAGAAGGCATATTTATATGCAAAATTGAGTGTTAAAAACTTTTAATTAGAAGCCCAAGACTAGTTTACATAATGAAATTTCGAGATACTTAAAATTTTGACTTTTTTTCTTAAGTTTTCCTAATTTTTCGTTTATTTTTGTTACACGAGATCCTGTGATTTAATTGGTCGATCATATTAACATGCGATATAGCAACTTGCGATATTTAACATTATCCTAAATTAATACAAATAAATTAATAATTATCAATAAATTAATATTAACATTAAAAAGTTTAATACTGACCTATGCTAAAGTTCAATAAATAGCGAACGTGTTTATATCTATAATGCTCGGAGAAATTTTCAAAATGCTATTTTATTAGTGATCACACATCTATTACATATTGTATATACTTTTTAAGTTTATAACTAAGAGGCCAGAATGCTTCTATTTTAAATATATATCTGCTGTTAGGTTACTATGATACAGCAAATAAAATGATCCAAAGTCTTTAAATTTCTCGAATCTATTTATAATTTGTGCATTCATGTTTCATCACTAGTTCATATTTAATGTTTGGTACCCAGTCAAGACTAAACATACAGTGTTTGTGTAATATTCATTAACTTTTTCTTTTTGATCTGTCAGGTGTTGCATCGTTTTCATTTCATTGGGTGGATCCGTTCAGGAGTTATAGAAGTTACAAATATTCTATCGTCCAATTCATATAAAGAAATACTTATGAATATATGACTATAATGACAATAATCACCAAATAATTTTACAAATTAGACCCAATTTAATATTACATGCCCATGAAAGCACAAGATGTAAGTTGTCGTATGATGAATAAGACAGGTAGATTAAATGATTTTGGAAAATGAAGTCGATACACGTCACATTTTTCCATCATATGTATTCAAAGACTAATTCCAATAGCATAAAGATTTGACATGCATCTATTTCTACTTCGAAAATTTTTTTAATATATAATCCAACATATCCTTGAGCAACCTCGGAAGTTCAGAATTACACTTTGTAAGATCATATTTATGAGGACCACCACAAGCGAGTCCACAAACAGCCTCTTATTGATTTACTTTACACAATAAATCTGTTAAGTATCCATGTTCAAGCTGGTATTCTAATATGTTACTATCTTGATTTTTCTTCGAATAGTTGCAATTACTGTAATCTTTCCTCTAAAAATAATTCATAAAAAAACTTAGATACTTGAACCTTGAATTTGCCAAAGGAATATGTTCAATTTCAGAGTTTTTTAAATATAAAAATCATATAGTCTTAAAACTACTTACTTTCTTCACAATCATTTTGTTGTATAGGATTATGCTCAAATTCAAAAACATCATGACTAAAAAACATTGTAGTTTAACCAATAATTTTAACATAATCTAAGCTTATAAAAAGAATTTATAATAATCTAATAGCATGTTCTGCCTAATACAAGATTTTTTCTAATTTTATCTTTGTAAAACTGACTATATTCTGGTTTTTAAACTCATTTATTTATTATGAAATTTGGGAAATTTCAGTTGTTTCTATATCATAAATATATAAATATTTGTAATAAAATGTTTCAATTTTATTTATATCTTAAAGTAGAACAGATAAATTTGATTTTTTTATAATATTCAGGTTTTGTTATAGCAGTTCAATCAGCTATAATTGTTATTAGATTAATTTTATTTTTTTATTTGTGATTTGAATATAAGATCTATGATGTACTATAAGCTAAACTAAACAAAAGTAACAAACTTAAAATTATAAAATAAATATAATTTGTAATTATTTAAGATTTGCAAAAAAATTAAATCAAATTTTAAAGTAGTTTGTTTTAACAATATTTTTTTATGAGTATTATAGGTTCTTAACTAATTATAACAAAGATTATATTTGAGCCAATAGCTATTTTTTTGCAATTTGATTAGATAAAAAATTTTTTAACTAATCAAATTGCAAAATTTTGATTTCTGTTAGCTATTTTTCAAATATGACCTTCATTAATATTGTTTGAAGTCCTAATATTGCTAAACATCACTGTAGATAATCATTACTGCTCATATGATAAACCAATTAAATTATAAAATCTTGTATAATTAAAACAATAGTAAAACTAAAAAAAAGCTAAAAAATATCAATAACAAGATATTTTATTATATTAATAAATCTTTGAGCACTAATTAAAAATTTTTAATACAAAATTTTATTTTTCTTATTCTAATGCTACCTAACACTAACTCTAAATTTTAGTTCTTTAATTAAATATATAATAGAGCACTTTGTAGTGATCTTTAGCAAAATTCTTTTTTATTATTAAAATTATATAAGTTAAAGATTTGTTAAAAAAAATTTAAATTGTTATTTTTAATATATAATAAAGATGTTTTAATAGATGATTTGCCAGTCATCTAAAGAGCTATGTGATGCAGATTATACAAGATTTATATATAAATTATATATCTTCAATTAGTAAATATGAAAATATTATATCTAAAACTTTTTTTCTTATTAAGTAAATTACTCTTGGGCTTATAATAAAAGTTGTAGAGCTTATCAAGATGCATCTAATAGTGATAAAAATGTTAAAATTAGCCTGGTGTTTCTTGAAAAATTTTTAAAAAATATTTTGCTAATATATAAAAATTTCTTTAAAAAATTCAATTTTTTTTAAAGAAATTTTATATATTGATAAAATGGTTTTTGAAGATTTCTCAAGAATTATCAGATCAATGTTAATATTCTTACTACTATTAGATGTGTCTTTTTTTTTTTTTTTTTTTAAGGTGAGGTTTTGCCTTTATCTTTATTAATAATTTGTATTGAGGATCCACTATAGGTTCCTTTGGCCAGAGCCAATTTACAAAAATTTTTATAAGAATAAAACTCAGACTACCAGAAACTATCTAAACTAGAAATTCTGATTCATCTGTAACCTAAATCTACTAGAGTG